TATAATAGGCCAAGACAGGTAACATTGTGTCCCTTTTTTCAGCTGAACCTCCGGTGGCGGCCGTGTCGCCAAGTGCTGTGGCCGGGGCCCCAACAGCTGGCATAGGCGCTACCGAGGGCGGTGCACCAGCTATAGCCCCAGCCTCGGGCAACTCTGCGTCGTCTGCTGCGACAGTTTCCATCGAGATGCTTGTTTTTGGCACGCTCGCTGCCCTGTTTTATGGTATATTTTGAGACTTCGTGTGCTGTGGATCGATTTTTTTGTCTTGAGATCAGAGTTCGTTTCTGGGATTTGATGCTCGATTTAGGTTTCTATGTTTACTTTTCATTAGTATTGATAGGGTATTTTGAAAATGGTGTGGGTACATCTTGTTATCATTTATTTTAGCATGGGGAGTTTTTATTGTGCCTGACTTTGTTATGGATGTTCTGATGATCGTATGCTTTTCTAGTGGTTTCTTTTGTTTAGTTTCTTTGTATTTAGTTATTTTTCTCTAAAGTGTGCTGGTTGGTACTGTTTTTCTATGTTATGTCCACTTTTTTGAGTGGTAACATAGGGTAAATTGCGCCAACCCCCTGTATTATACGAAATCTGCGCGTTATCCCCCTGTATTTTAAAAATTGCGTCATACCCCCTTGTATTATACTTTTGATTGCGCACGCTCCCCCCTCCTCGTTTCCGTGTTAACCCCGTTAATGTTTTGCTTAACTTCCCGTTATGTCCTCAGAAATAAACAATTACAGTCAGTCTAAAAATTAATACAATAAAAAAAGAGACAAAAGGGAGAAACGAAAACCCTAATTTCACTTTGGTGAACTAGAAAATTGAGGGTATCAAATAAAGGAAAATCGCTTCTGATCCTCCCATTTCACCAATTCACTTTGGTGAATTGCAGAATCAAAAACTCACTTCTGCCTAAAGAAAAAAACCAGATTTCATATTTCAAAATAAATAAATAAATAAAAGAAAAAAACTAGATTTCACATTAAGGGAGCAAATAATTTGGCATCTGCGTATGAGATAGATTTGTACTCTATATAGTGCCTCCAGAGAATAATCTGCGTAGGGAGCAAATAATTTTGCAAATAATACGTTCTCCCAAGAATATGTGCCTCCATCCGCCGCCGCCACAAGAGTTCTCGCTCGAATTGTACGATGGCCCTGCAGTGGAGATGGAGGTGAGCATCATGGACGGTCACGGCCGGCGATGCGGTGTCGTCTCCAGCATCACCGTTGTGAAAAAACCCCATATCCCCTACTCGCATCATCAAGGACAAATTGCCATTCCTACCTCTCTTTTTCCGACACTGAGATGCAACAGGTCTCTCTACTCTCACACAATTCTCTTGCCGCTGCTTCCTACGTCACACTGAAAGTTCTGTTGAAATAGCAGGAACGAAAGAGAACGGCCCAACTCCAGCCTCCGATCCTCCCATCTTGCTTTACAGACCGACCGCCCACCTTAGAAATTGGACTCCATTGAAGAAAAAAATTGAAGAACTTCGATTGCGATTTGAAGAAAAAAAAAATTGACGGATGTTCAATTTAATTCAGGTATTAAGGGGCAAAATAGTCATTTCCCTGAGTTTATGGCGAAAAAATGGAGAAAAAGCCGCACCACACGCGAGTGAAATGCACATCCGTCAAGTTAGACGGTTTAGGGGATAACGCGCAATCAAAAGTATAATACAAGGGGGTATGGCGCAATTTTTAAAATACAGGGGGATAACGCGCAGATTTCGTATAATACAGGGGGGTTTGGCGCAATTTACCCTGGTAACATATTTTGATTCAGTCAAGCAGAGGAAAAATGTTTTTGACTTACTTTCCAAGTTGGTTCTCTTTTAATTATTCCAAGTAAATGTTACAGTTTTGCTATGAAACTACTAGTCGACTCTATAGTGGATATAGTGGAGGCAACCTTCTATATACAAGAAATAAACTATACCATATTAATAAAATTATTAGTGTTATTTAAGTAATCAGAGAATATGGTATGATTTACTTGTTGTATGTAGAAGGTTGACTCCACTATGGAATCAACTGTTGGCTTCATAGCAAAATCAGTAAACCTTATTAGAAAATCAAAATGTTTTCAGACTTACTTTCCAAGTTGGTCCTCTTTCTATTATTTCAAGTAATTGAGTTTGATTTGGTTTTGACTGATTTTTTTATGAATAAATATTTAATTAAGGTTGAATTAAATTGTGTAGAAAAAATTTACGTTTTAAGTAGATACTTGTAGTAAAATACATGATTAAAGATAGTCATAAATGGACATCTATAACGATGATTGTGATATTTGAATGGTCAAAAGTCTTTTTCCACATTGAACTCTTAAATGAGATTTTAACTCTCTTTATAATAAAAAAAAGTTTGAGAAGTCATAACAACAACAAAGCTACATAAAGTGTTGATGATAAGCTTAAGTCACACACGCAACGCCGGTCGGCTCGACTCAGGCCTTGGACTTCAGTCCTTGCCAATTGGACTTGGGAGACATTGGACAGTTACTTTGGTCGTCGGCTCGACTCAGGCCTTGGACTTTGGTCCTTGCCAATTGGACTTGGGAGACATTGGACAGTCACTTTGGTCGTCGGCTCGACTCAGGCCTTGGACTTTGGTCCTTGCCAATTGGACTTGGGAGACATTAGACAATTTAGGCTGGTGTTTGACTTGGTGATGGGTTTGACCTTGTGCCTAATTCTTAACTTTTTGTTGCAAATTTATTTGCAAACTGGTTCCCAAGTTAAAATTCAAGCTGAGTTCGGTTTGAATTGGGGTGTTGACCCAACTAATGTGAGACCTCTCTAGGTGCATTGAACCGGGATGTAGACGTGTTGACTCCACATGTGTTTCAGGTGGAGCATTTGTGTGTTAACACCTAAAAACAACATGGTTAACACCTGGCCGCTTTATTTCCATTTACAACATCCATCACTGGGTTGTTAACTGCCTTAATTGGATGAAGACTAGAGGTCATCTCATATTGATTAGAAATTCTATAAATAAGATATGGTATAGAGCTATAGAAATATTGATAACATCATCTGATCATCTGCATACTTCAAAGCCTCATACATCATATCACAAACAATTATTCAATTCTCGACTTTGTCCTAGTTCGTTGGAGCTCCAAAGTCTGATGTGATAGACCTTGAAGGACGATCGTCGTTGTATCTTTAGGGACGACATGCCAGAACCCGTCAGTATTACGTGGGGCGTATTCATCTTGCGGAAATAGATATTCTCGTCTCTACTATGCTCTTTCCGTTTCCAGTGCTATTGTAATTTCTCTATTTTTTAGTTCAAGTTGTAAGAACTGAACCATATACTTCTGTTCGTAGGACTTTCTTGTAATCAAAACACTCAGTTTGTAACAATTGCAAGACAAATATCTACCTACTGAACTTATAGCATCCAATGGAGATGGTTCCAACACTCAGAAAGATCAACAACAACAACAGTCGATCAACAACGTTGTTCCTCATCATCATCTCGTACATGTTGTCCATGTCCCTACTACTGAAAACCCCGAGAAATTCAACGGGCTTGACTTCAAGAGAAGCCAGTAAAATATGCAATTTTACCAAACATCTTTGGATTTGGTGAAGTACCTGAAGGATGACCCCCCCGATTGCTGAAAATGAGACGAATAGTGAATTACGCACCGCGTACGATGCTTGGGGCAAGATGATTACGTTTCCCTGAACTTTGTCCTGAACGAACTTAGTTATAAGTTGTACAATGTGCACAACTCGATTGGTTCTGCCAAAGTACTTTGGGCTGCTATGGTATAATTAGACATCAATTTGTTATATAATACGAAAAGCAAAATAAATACACATATATTCAAGCAATAGAGCGTGGCTCGGGACTGCCTTTGACAATTGCAAGACGGTATTTGTTTACAAGCGGGTATTCATTCGAACGTGTAGTGACTGGTAAGCGACTTAGGTAGCTTGATGCATAGCGTCTATCTGCCAATTAGTCGATCGATGTGGTGCAACCTCAATGGTAGCATTAGCTATGCATGGCTTCATCTCGGATAGCGGGATAGTTAGTAATAAACTAGACCTCTTAGTGAGCTCCAAGAAAGAGCTCCAATCCCGACAATAGACTCTCGAATATTAAGAGGTAATGCTTTAATCAATCGACTTACAGGACAACTTACCTTGTTCATAGAACATTGAACATCAATTATCGAACCTCTAATTACACAACCACCTAACTAGAGCATCATCCCACCGCTTTATATTTCAGGAATCCATGCTGCATGTCGAGCTCATGAACCCCGTGAACAGAATTTCAACAATTTAAACTTGTAAAAGTATATTGGTACATAGGGTATTCAAGTAAATAAACATACATTTATGCTGCATATTTAGCGAGCCGAGTTGCTTGTGCTTGAGTCGATCCTCGACTAAAAGTCATAAGTGCTGGTTATCTGCTCGACTCGTTGCTATTTATGGTTTAGTTTATACTTGACATAATTTCATGGTGGCTAGATTCTCATAACAAGCTTACATGAAAAAACAAAAGAAGTGTTTATTTAAGTTCCTTTTCTTTCCCACCAAACATTGGCTATTTAATGCAGAAGAATACATTATGTGTCCCCAAGGAAACGAAAAATTAATTAAAAAAAAAAATGTTCCTTCAACAGAGTTTACTAGCTATGGATTTTGATCTCATTAGATAATTGAAAAAAAAA